TGTGGTGCATCGCATTAAAATCTGAAATACGGCCCAGTGTAACGTATGCTTCAATAGATGGTTTATTTACGTTATTGCGTGGGCGCTTTGTTTATTTACATTCGCCATCCTTCAAGCTTTGCCTTGTGGCTGAACTGCAAGATGCGTATATTATACAATATATATAATACAATAATATAATATTGCGACGTTCCTGCTTGATCCCCTTTTCACCCACGTACGCTGTTTTCGGCAATGGTTAATTGTTGACAGGTTTTTTTTTACAGATTTGCGTATTAGGTCATGCAATAATACTTATCAGAGTCGGCTGGTGATGGTGATGATCCCTTTCGCTCTTTGTTAGACTTGTTTTTTCTTCAAATCGGTGATTCCTTAACCTGTCCCCTGTCACTTTATTACTTCGTGTCCGCACGAACCTCACTCCTATGTTCACCGTTGAGAGATTGCCTTTTGAGGAATTATTTAATGTTTCTATTAACCCCTCGAAGAACAGGTACTCTGATTTCACCTGTACAGGTATGTATACATACTATAGTAACCCAAAATAGTAGCACTGTTTCGCACCGTAATTTACTCGACTACACTGTATATAATAGTTATGTTTCTTTAAGAATTTTATTGTGGATCGGCACTGAGCGCTCGAACTACACATCCACTCGCTTCGCCTTAACCTTTGATACTGTCCTCGTCAAAAAGTTTCTTCTTTTTTAAATTATCCACCGACCCAGTGCACTGCAGTGTTCTTGAATTTTTTAACCAGTTAACGAATTCCATGTATTGAAACTGAAACCCCTGGAAATTTTTCAACAAATCGTTCTTGTACATATCTGTATGAACGGAGTTCCATAACACTGCACCAAAAATATTTTTTGTTCAATAGTTAGCATTTTGAAAATATTTTATAAAACGAAATTTATAATCTAAGACTGTCACTGTGGCATTTTTTGTCATACATATGGGGCATTCCATGCCAACTCATCCTACCGATTGGATTTGCATCTCCGATTTCGCTGAAATTTGGGTATCTTTTTGTACCCTTCGAAAAAGGTTTCTATGAATTTTTTCAAATTTTTTCATTCAGCCAATCGAGAGATATGAATTTTCGAAAATTTCGGGTATTTTTTTTTTTTAACTTGGTGAAAAATTGTCCGATTGGGGACTTTTTTTTTCAAATTTCGTGTTTTTTGATAAACTTTTTGAAAAATTTATGCAAAAAATTATTCATCATAAATTTGATTGTTTTTTTTTAATTCCAAAGTTAAAACAAGAATTTTAAGATTGTTTGTATCCTTCAAATTTTTTTAAAAAATTCTCAAAAATTCTACTCTTCAAAACACAAATTTTAAGCCTAGTCTCGTAATGGGATAATAATGGGTTATAATTTTTTTTTAATTTTTAAATTATTTTTTTTCTGTTTTTTTTTTTCACTATTTGTGTATTACTGGCGGCTTTATTAGATGAGATTCGAAAAAAATCATACATCAATATAATAAATAATTGAAGTCAAAATTTCAATTTCTAAGGTAAATTTTATTTATAACTTTTTAAAGGTTTAAATAAAACTATTTCAGCATGCTACCGTATTTTGAGTTGATTTTTAAAAGCACGATTTTAATATACCTACGTTTCTTTATTACTTTCTTTTTTGCATGTTTAATTCTCTTTTTCTACAGTTTTCCAACACTATTTTACAATTTTCACGAAACAAAATAACATTAACGAGGTATGAAAGACTTCGTTTCTGTTAGAAACAATGAAGGCGTACGTGAGCACATTCAAAAAAGGCTTATTTTATCAAATTTAAAAGAGTTATATGAGCTATTTAAATTGGAGTATCCTGACTGTAAAGTTGGATTTTCCATGTTTGCATCATTGCGCCCCAAGTATTGTGTACTAGCAGGATCCGGTGGTACACATACTATGTGTGTATGTTCAATCCACCAAAACGTAAAACTCATGATACTAGGTTAGTATGACTGAAATTCAAATTTTGTTTTATGATTATTATTTTTGCTAAATTCTGTATTTAATTGCATGTTTTTTTTTGCAATTATTTTCAGGTTCCAATTTACGAAAATTGACAAGTGATCTTCCGACACCTTTAATTGAATATAATGATTGTTTAAAAATGATTGTTTGTCAGAATTCATCTTCAGAGTGCTATTTTGGCAAGTGTAAAAACTGTCCAGGAATCGATGTACTCGAAAATTTTTTGAACGAGATTTTTGAAGAAAATAATATCGATGAATTGACGTATCAATGTTGGATTTCAAAACCGCGGACAACGCTTGAAATTTTAACGGTAGTTTCATCAGAATTCATCAGTGACTTTTGCGAAAAAATTACGGAACTTTTGCCTCATTATTTTATTGCAAAATCGCAAGCAAGATTCATGAAATCTCTTAAAGAGTCTCTTGGAACCGATGAATTTCTTGTAGTTTGTGATTTTGCGGAGAACTACAAATTTGTCATCCAAAATGCAGTGCCAGGATTCCATTGGAATAATGATCAATCGACAATATTTCCAGTGGTAATTTATTTTAAGAAAAATAATGAATTATTGCACAGAAGTTTAGTGATTATATCTGATTGTAACACGCATGACTCGACTGCAGTTAACGTCTTTTTGAAAATCGTTACTGATTTTATAAAGTCCTTGTCCAATACAGCTAAAAAGATATTCTACTTTTCCGATGGAGCTCCGCAACAATTTAAGAATTACAAAAACTTTGTTAATTTATATTATCACAAGGAAGATTTTGGAATAAATGCTGAATGGCATTTCTTTGCCAGCTACCATGGTAAAGGACCTTGTGACGGTGTAGGAGGATCACTAAAAAGAGGTGCAGCAAGAGCTAGTCTTCAGTTACCATTCGATAAACAAATTTCAAACCCCCGAGAGTTGTATCAATGGGCTGCGCAATCTAATAACTTGCCAAAAATCGAAGTAAGATATTCAACTATTGCAGATTATGAAAAAGCTACAGAGAATTTAAATATACGTTATTCAAAAGCTAAAAGTATCACAGGTACACAAAAGTATCATTGCGTTATACCAAATACAGATGGATCACTCACAATGAAACTGATTTCTTACTCAAATAAAACTTATTCTTGTAAAATATTCAAACGCCAGAAAAAATAAAAAAAACCTTTAAAAAGTTATAAATAAAATTTACCTTAGAAATTGAAATTTTGACTTCAATTATTTATTATATTGATGTATGATTTTTTTCGAATCTCATCTAATAAAGCCGCCAGTAATACACAAATAGTGAAAAAAAACAGAAAAAAAAAAAATTTAAAAATTAAAAAAAAATTATAACCCATTATTATCCCATTACGAGACTAGGCTTAAAATTTGTGTTTTGAAGAGTAGAATTTTTGAGAATTTTTTAAAAAAATTTGAAGGATACAAACAATCTTAAAATTCTTTTTTTACTTTGGAATGAAAAAAAAAACAATCAAATTTATGATGAATAATTTTTTGCATAAATTTTTCAAAAAGTTCATCAAAAAACACGAAATTTGAAAAAAAAAGTCCCAAATCGGACAATTTTTCACCAAGTTATGGCTATTTAAAAAAAAAAAATACCCGAAATTTTCGAAAATTCATATCTCTCGATTGGCTGAATGAAAAAATTTGAAAAAATTCATAGAAACCTTTTTAGAAGGGTACAAAAAGATACCCAAATTTCAGCGAAATCGGAGATGCAAATCCAATCGGTAGGATGAGTTGGCATGGAATGCCCCATATGTAGGTAGGCTTTCCAACTTCTCTCAAAAAAATCCCGAGGGGTAAACCACTCTAAAATCAGCGAGACCAACGTTCAACATTATGTGGACGTTACGCTATGATTTCTCCTTATTCGACCATTATCAATCGTTATCAATACGGAAAAATCTTTATGAATAAGAAATTTCTCTTAGCGACGCGTTGCTATGACTACCCTTGTGATTTTTTCCTTAGACGTTAATTCGTATGCGATTTACAATTTTTTTAAATCAGTGGTTTACCCCTCGAAAAATCCAGGACATTAGAGTAAATTTACAAAAAAGACACAATCAACAATTATCAAGTAACGTCAATTTAACAATTTGCATTGTAGAATTTTCATTCATTTTTGTAATTAATGTAAATTTTTACAAAATAACCAGGTAAAGGAAACGTAAAATGGGGTACAAAATTATAAATTAGAAATTAAATTTTAAGAAAAATATTATTAGGAATACTGAGTTGAAATTTTACAATTGGTCTTTGAATATGATTTGAAATCTTTTTTTTATTTGTCATTTTGCTCCAAAACGAAAAATAAAGGTAGTTTACTCTTGATAGTATTTCATGTTTTCTTGTTTTTTGACCCCCCTGTATAATATTTTCAAATTTAAAATATGGCAATAGACTTTTCAAAACAAGCAGAACTTTTTATAAGGAATGACTTTTAATCGAAAAATGAAAATTTTAGTCCATTTGTCCTCTTGGGCCCTCTATCCGTGGACATACTGTATACAAAAAATACAGATATTGCATTATTTTCGGAAAATAATAAAATATAGGTATGTATTTTTTGTGTTCTATATTAACACCTTTACACACAAAAAATACAAATAAGAAAATAGGATGAAATTAGCTTGATGATGACAGAAAATTAACCTTAATTATTTGGATCAGTCTATGGTGGGACTCTTAAATTATTTAAGAAAAAAATGATTCTGGCCTGGGTTTAAACCTAAGCCCTTTGGATAAGCGCAAAACTTGCCTAAGCTGCCCAGTGGGTTAATTAAACTAAAATTTATAGGCTTTTAAATTAGGTTGACTATAGGGAAAAAAAATTATTCATTTGGATAAACACAATGTTTTCTAAAAAATGACATAGACCAATCCATACTGAAACCTTATTAAAATTTATTAAGAAAAGAAGATTATAATATATGACCAATTAAAAATATTAAAAATCCAGGGGAAATAAGTTTTGTATTAGTTTACTTATACTACCTACTTTCATATATTCCCTTTCAGCTTGTTTTTCAGCTATTTGTTCAGCCAATTCTTTTTGCCCATATGCTAATTGCAACTTCCTTTCTAGATCCCTTAATTCTTCAGACGATTCCCTTAGTTGCTGCCTAAAATTTATTTTAAAAATAGTACAATTTATAAGCTTATCTAGTTACCTAAATTTCTTGTCAACTATTTCCTCTCGTTTAATTTTATCCAATTCATATGCCAAATTTTCTTCTTCATGAAATTGATGGTTTCGTAAGGCAGTAAAATTTTGTGCCTCACATTTTTTGTTGTGAAGTTCCCTTTCATGGCGCTGCTTTTGCAAGTACCTTTGCAGGTTTTGAAATCTGGATTTTTCATCAAATCTTATCTCCTCATAAATTGCTTCGTCTTTAAATTGGGTTCGTTTGTCATCTTCCTTTAGTTTAAAAACATAACTCAGTGGATATATTAATTTAAAATGTGTTTCTTACCATATTTTTTTATAAATTTGCTAGCAAAAACATTAAACAAACCTTTATAAAGATCTTTAAATGGACATTTAAAAGTTTGACATTTCTATAAACAAATGGCCATCTATTGAATTTTTTTAAGGGCTTATTTTTATGTGGTTATAGAAAGCTGTAGGTATTATTTTGTAGCGCCATCTATGTTCTAATTAAATGAACTTTTACCCACAAAACATTGCCAACAAATCGGGGGAAATTTACCTTATTATTGCACTGCAATAATTGCAGTGTCGATAATTGGGGCCGTATGTATACGTTAAACCTTATTCAATGGTTAAACCATGGAGCCTACACAAGGAGCCCGAACTTAATAGGGAAAATTGACAAAACCTGTCCACTAAATTGCATAAATTAAGTCTTTTTTTTTCACCACCAGCGGCGCTGATTGTCGATGCTTCCGTATGACGTGAAAATAGTATCGAAAATACATCTGTGGTAAAAAGGCAAAAGTAAGGCAAAAAGTAACTTCTAGTCGGTGACCCAACATCGATCCCGACTTCTCACGTGCTGGCACGAACCGCCTTATAACGTGACGTCATAATAATAATCCGGTTTTGTTCCCCGAACATATAATTTTTGTTGTCAAGCTAGATAGCTTAGATGGTAGGGCGTTTGCTTTGCATGCGAGAGGTCCCGGGTTCGATACGTATCGAACCCGGGGAGTATACTCAGAAGTTGTCGAATTTTTTTTACTTTTTTATTTCATAAATTTGTTGTTCCTTTGTTAAAAAGTGTTTTATTTTTATCGTAACATAAATTTGCCCATTTTAGTTAGGTTTTTTGCTCAATGGGGCGGGGGGGGCCAATGGGGCGGGGTCGGTTGGGTTGTGTTGTTGAGTTTGGGTTGGTTCAAAAGTCAAAAAACGCAACTTTTCAGTAGAGCCTTAAAACGTATTTGCACTAATTCAGGAAATGGTTTATGGTTAGCAGGTATAAATTTGGAAAAATTGTTAAAAGTAATATTGTTTTGAATTACAGACACAAAGTAATTATAGCAAAAAATGTGAAAAAAAGCATAAATTATTACTTATCCCAACATACTTAGTTCAAAACTCAATTAAGTGAAAAGCTTAACTATGGTTTCGCGTAAAAATCGAACAAATTTTGGACGTTTGTTTGCAAGTGATGTCAGAATTGAATATATTTTTTTTTAACTTGTTTCTACATCTAAATGGTGCATTTTTTTCAATAAAAAAATTTCATCCATTGACCGCTGTGGTTAACAGGCCTTAAGTTACTCTACTGTGTTAAAAATAGATAAATTTCGATATTTTGTAATATCATTTTTATTTAAAAACGTATCGATTTGAAATTAAGATAAAATGTAGACCTAATTAATGACAATAAATCCACGTATTTTTTTTTTTAGATTTTAACATACAGGGGGCGCTGGGGACAATTTAATTTAAAATTTTACCATTTTTTAAGGGTTAAAAAATCGAAGAAGCAACGTTGTTTTATAATTTTGAGTATATCACGGTAAAGTACTGATAATTAACTATTATTTGATATATAAACTTCTATATGCAAATTATGTTTCTACGAGAGACGTCATTTTTAAGTTAGGCCTTCAAAGAGCATAATACTAACGTGTTTTACAAAGTATATTTTGTTTTATCTAGTTTTATAATATAATGTATTATATATTACATATTATACATTATATATTACATATAATATATTATATATAACATACAATTCTTACATATTTATTTAAAAAATCGCCATAGATGGAGCTAAAATTACTTTTATTTATAAATTTAAATTTTTTTCCAAGTTTACTAATTTTGATTATAGTAGGCATCATAGACTTTTTTTCTCTATGGTAACCTACCATTGGAAGCATGAAAGATAATATGACAGTTCAGTTTATAAAATGAATAAACTAAATAATATTTATAGACAGCGTTAGCCAGTTAGAAATTATAACTTACTTTAATTTTATTTTTTGCTACACAACCAAGCTTCAATTTATTTTTTACTTAATAAGCAAGCTTTAATTTTAATTCCAAACTGAGGAAAGTAATATTTACCCAATAAATAAATTAGAATAAAGACTTTATTTTTTATGTTGCGATCGGCTATTTAGATATATGTATATTTTTTAATCAGTTGTTTTTCGCTTTTTTGTAATTAGTGCAATTGTATATTTAATATAATGCTATACAGGGTGTTTCGCAAACTATATGGATTTAAAATTTTAATAGCCTATACAATTTGATTTAGACTATACCTAAAGTCAATAGTTTTCAAGATATTATTTTTTTTTGTTAAAATTTTGCTAAATACAAGTTAATCAAAAATAACCTCTAATTTTTTGTTATTAGGTTTGCTGACATTTGGTTGGAATTTTTGAAATTTGAAATTTGAATTTTTTAAATAATTTAATTTTTTAAAGGTTTTTCAACAAATAGATTGAGAAAAACTACTTAAAATTAGGCAAACTTCAAACAATAATTACGTTTTAATTATAAATGTAAAACCCTGTATGTTTTAACATAATCAAATAGAAAATTTAAGAACTTTTCGATTGGTATTCTAATAATTGCTTCCTATAACTTTATAAAGTTAAAATTTCAGAGACATTTAACAATTTCTAATATTTTCAATATTATTTTCTATTCTACAAGTTGGTTAATGTGACAGTATCCATGGTTACCACTTAATCTGTTATTGTTTAAAATTAATTAAAATATTTGATTGAAAAATTAATAACTAGAAAAATATTGACTTTAGGTATAGGATAAGGTATATAGCCATTTTATAAATAATTTTATGTTTACATTCTATAGAATTAAAAAATGTAAAAATATATAAGGTGTCCTGTTTAAAATAAAAAGACAATTCCGGTAAAACGAGAAGTATTATTTTGTTTAATTTAAGAAAAAAATCTAAATCAAATAATTTACGCTATTAAAATTATTTTAAATCGATGACTTTCCCGATTCCCTATAGAAACTTCTAACGGACTACGTACGTGAAACACCCTGTATATTAAACGTCATTTATGTGTTATGCTTTACTTAATTAATAATAAAAGATACAACAATATTTGTATAAAAATGACAATATGTACTAAACTAAACATTTATGAATACTGCTACTGCTAATTCAAAATTGATCCTGGCCACATAAACATCATTTGCATAAAAAAGTTAATATATCAAATAAAAGTCAAATATCAATACTTCAACGTGATATACTCAAATTTATAAAACAAAGTTGCTTCTTCGAATATTTACCCTTTAAAAATTGTTAAATTTTAAATTAAATTCTTACCAGCGCCCCCTGTACGTTAAAATCTAAACAAAATTAATTGTCATTAGTAAGATCTACATTTTGTCCAAATTTCAAATCGATACGATTTAAAATAAAAAAGTTATCAAAAAAAAAAGAAATTTCTTCATTTTTAACACAGTGAAGAAAAAAATAAAAATAAAAATAAAAATAAAGTTGTCGATGGACAAGATTTTTTTTTTGAAAAAAGTACTGCATTTAGATGTAGAAATAAGGTAGAAAAGTTTCAATCGATTTCTTGAACCCTTGCAAATCGACCGTTCGATCCTTTCGCGAAACCGTAGTTAAAGTTTAAGTTGACTTATCCCCTTTTGCTTTATTTTTTATCTTTATTATTTCAATATAATAGGTCAGGCCAAAAGAAGTAAGTATACTTAAGCTTATCTCCACAAACCTGTAATTTAGCGACTTTTTTAAGTATATGAATTACCTATTAAATATTTAAACTACATCAAATTAAAAAATAGAAATTTATTCAAACTGTGAACTATTATAGATTTATTACTAACAATAATATAACGGAAATAACTAAATAGTATTTTTAACACTTAGATAAAATTGTAGTACCTAACACAAGTGATAACTATATTCGGATAATAAAATAAAGTAATAAATTTTTGGTAATTATAATCTTATGTAAAAAAGACTACTATAAATCTTCTCTATCGCTATTAAGGCGGTCCAAATCTGGATCTTCTTCCCTCATGACTTTTGTTGGCAAATTTTTGTAATAATCGTGGACATCATTGTCTAACTGAGCTAGGATGGTCAAAATATTTTTTTTTTTATCACTAATCGGCAAAATTTCCTTGTAAGCAGCCGTTAGGATAAATTCTATTTGACCAGTCTTTCTGAAATTTATTGATTAAAACTCGTCGTCTTGAGTTAAAGTAGTTTTGTAGTGAACAAGCCCGAATTTTTTTTCAAATTTAAGCCATCTAAGTTTTCTATAATCAAATTTGTTTCCAATGTCATCGTTTTTTTTCTTTTGCAAAGGAGCTTTTTTGAATGTAAGAAAAGCAAAATCAAAGAAATGTTTCTGTTCCATAATAATCACATTAAATTTATTTTTTTTACCTGCCGTTCTTACCAACTGATACCAGTCCCTGGGATGTTGAATTTTTATCTCACTGGATTTTGCTTTTCTCTCTATGAGTGCATGATCACAGTCACACTCCATGTGAGTGTGACCGGGTATAAGAAACTTATGCTCTAACACCTTTAGTGAAGGATGATCTCGCATCAAGTAAGTCATCATAGAAATCACAATTGAATTTTTATTTTGTCCTCCACATGTATCTGAGTATAAGATAACATGAGATACATGTGGAGGCAGGTTATTCAAAAAACTATATAAACATGAGGAAATTTCGTTAGCTCCCCTTTTGGCAACCGTTTCGTTCCACATGAAATGAAAGGAACTTCCGTCTGTGCAGTTGTGTACAGTCAAATTATATGTATTCAATTGTCTTTTGTAAAACATATTTCCACTTGACAATTTAGGCGTTGGCAGGACTTGCTGCAGGTCGAATGTGCAAACTATCATATCATTATTTTCTTTGCTCTTTTCAATATCAATTTTTTTTGCTTCATATGCATAGTCAGCTATCTCTTGATGACTAAATAGCTCTTTTTCATAGTAATTTTTTTCTGCAGGGCCACTATTTTGAATTCTTGTGCTTAATGTGTCGCAGATGGTGCAAGTATCCAACATAGGCTTTTTGAACTTCAAACCGGTCTTTTT